AGAAAATTTCCCAAGCATGAAGAATGAAAACTGGAAAATCAAATACAAGAGGCTTATAAGACACCAAATGTACAAAATTATGACAGATCTACATCAAGACACATTATAATGAAAATGCCTAGCATACAGAATAAGGATAGAATTTTAGAGGCCACAAGAAAGAAAAATCAGATTACSTATAAGGGAAGACCAATTTGGATCTCAGCAGATTTTTCAACCCAGACTCTCAAAGCTAGGAGATCCTGGAACAACATATACCAAGCTCTAAAAGATACTGGATGCCAACCAAGAATCTTATATCCAGCAAAATTAAGGTTCAAATTTGACGATGAAATAAAAACCTTCCATGATAAACAAAAGCTAAGAGTTTACAGCAATAAAGCATGCTCTACAGAACATTCTTGGCAAAATACTCCATGAGGAGGAAATAAAAAACAACAATAAAAACCTGCAAAGGGAAAAACTACAATAAAGGAAAAGCCAACCAAAGGAGAAACCAATTCAAGCTAAACACCAAAAATAAATAAAAATGACCTGCAATACAATTCATGTCTCTTTCAAGTCTTTCTGATAAATTTTTACACATAATTTTTTTTTTAAAGAGAGAGTGACAGAGAGAGAGAGAGACAGAGTGAATTTTTAAATGTTTTATTTCTCAGTTTTTGGCAGACACAACATCTTTGTATGTGGTGCTAAGGATCGAACCCGGGCCACACGCATGCCAGGCGAGTGTGCTACCGCTTGAGCCACATCCCCAGCCCTTTACACATAAAAATTTTAACTACAATATTATTTAATTTTTCAGATTTTTGTTTATTTCCTATTTTTTTTTTCATTTTTCATTCTCTTCACAAAGTTATACAAATATGTTCTTTGAAATTTTAAGCATTTTATATATATTGTATTTTAATATATAATTAATCTGGTATGTGTATATACATTGCCTGTGATATGAGATGAGGCATATTTTACTCTCTTATAATTTAAAATCCATTATTCAGGATTCAAGGATGAAAAAGATCAATCAGAGTAAAAACTGTTTAATAAGGTATTTATAAAGGTAAGGGCAAGGTTGAGGGTAGCTAACAAATTTTGTGAAGTACCTTTCCTTCTGTAAACTTGGAGAGGTAGGAGATGAAATATGAGAGAGCCATTATGAAAAACTTGTAAAAGAAAGTGACCTAACTGAAGTTATTCCCACCAAAAGCATGTAGAAACCAACTCACAGTCTAATAGAGTCTTATAAGGACTACTCTTATATATTCTAAGTTCATCCCTTTGGTCTCCCTTTCTGATGGAAATCAACAAGAAACCACATAACAAGGTGACTTATCATGCAGCCTACAGTATATGTCTCACCAAAAGGTGAAAGATGGAGAAAGGAGCCAATATGGCAGCCATTAGTTACATGAGGCCACTCAGTATTTGAATGTGTTTAGTCTGAATTGAGGTGTGCTATGTGTTAAATAGACATTAGATTCCAAAGAATTATTAGGACAAAGAAAATGAACATAAATATCTTACTAACAATGATTTTCTTTGCAAATTATGTTGGTAATCCATCAGGTTAAATGAAAATATATTAAAATTAATTTCTCTATTTGCTATTTATTTATTTATTTGTTTGTTTATTTATTTTAGGTGTAGATGGACACAATACAATACCTTTATTTTTATGTGATGCTGAGAATCGAACCCGGGTCCCACCTGTGCTAGGGGAGCGCTCTACCACTGAGCCACAATTCCAGCCCCATCTCTATTTGTTTTACAAAAAAAGAAGTAAAGGAGAACAAGGTAACATATTCTGTATCTTAATGGTAGTACTATATACCATATATATGTTGTCATTTTTTATATTTGTCTTAACAAAATTCTTATAACTAAAACTAAACGGGGTAAACTGTACCAGATATAAATTATATCTCAACAAACATGACTTTAAAAAAAGAAATCTAGTTCATGAAATGTTTTAACAGTATTGGGCACATACTCACCACCTGATAAATAATGGCTATTATTATGATTCATTAAAACAACCAGCATCAAGCTGTTTCATAGTGGGGTAGAGAGGAGGAGCATGGGAGGAATAGACAAACTCTAGATAGGGCAAAGGGGTAGGAGGGGAAGGGAGAGGGGGCATGGGGTTAGAAATGATGGTAGAATGTGATGGATAGGATTATCCAAAGTACATGTATAAAGACACGGATTGGTATACTTTGTATACAACCAGAGATATGAAAAATTGTGCTCTATATATGTAACATGATTTGTAACGCATTCCGTTGTCATATACAACAAATCAGGAAAAAACAACAAAAAAAACCACCAACAACAAAAAAACAAAAAAATGCTTTTAGCCTGACACAACCCAGTGGAGGGACCACAGGCCCTGAGTAACTGTCCTCAGAAAGAATGAATGTTTGGGGAAGAAAAAAGGTGTTCCCAAATCAATTCTATGGGTAAGTAGTAGATGAGGACCAAACCTGGGTTGGACGATTGCTCAGCTGGCATCATTTCTGCTGCATCAAGGAGTGCATACCCGTTGGGCAGCCTGGAAGTACACTGAGGAGGATGCTCAGATTCTGAGAGCAAGACTGATTAAGAATGTCTTGTCCTGGCATGGCTGGGGATCAGGGATACACGAGTGGCCATCTGTCTCACATTCCAGCTTAGCACCATCAAGTCCCCTCCCTCAACAGGCACTGATAGACAGTTCTGAATGAAAGGGTCTAAATTAGAATCACAACCTTTCAGAGCTTGCTAATCCCTTTCTCCCTCTGGCAGGTCATCCAAGTGACCCTTCCTCAATAAGCAAATGTCCTTACAGGGCTAGGTGCTGGAAAAGACACAGATTAAGGTCCCTGCCCTTATGAAGTGTTCAGCACCTAAATGTTTCCTGCTTGGTCACTGGGACCCTGGCAGTGGGTTAGCCCAGAAGAAGGATTATGAGGACAGATGCAGGAATGAGGGCCTGGCTGCTAACTCCCAGGCAATACCTTTGTTTATAATTCCCTGAGGCAGTTGATTCCAATGATCTAAATATTTCTCTCCAGGTATGCTAAATGGCAGTCAGAGGCAGCCGAGTTGGAACCATATCAAGGGCCAAGCAAGCTCATGCATTTACTTACCAGGCAGAGTGCTCATAAAGGAATTGGCAGAACAGAAAGAGAAGATGTTCCAGGAAGTAAGGGCAAGCTGGGCAGGAACCCAACCAGCATATGGAATCTTAGCAGACACAAATCCAACATCTAGTTAGATCTGGTGGACTGCCAATAGGAAGCCATAGGCTTTTCTCTCCTTTGATGGCCCTTGGTCAGGGGAGAGAACCAGGGGCAGGGCCCATTGTTGTTTCAAAAGACAAGATCAGATTCCCACATCCCCTAGGTTCTAGTCATTGGACAACCAGGCAGGGAGCCCCTGCTCAACATCTCCCTTTGGGAGATGCTAAAGATTCATTTTGCATTCAATAGGTTCAGAGCTGACTGACATGGCCAGGAGTGTCTCCATATGCGGCTCTTTCCATAAATCATGTCCCTTTGAGGGCCCAGGTGCCCAGGAAGATGGGACTATGTTCCCATCCTGCTCTAAAGACAGGAACAGATTCAAAGGGAGAAGTCAGAAGCTCCAGGCCACCTAGTAGGTCAGACTTCATGATGCTGGGACTGGACCTAAGTGTGCCTCATTCTAGGACCTGGACAAGCCTGGATAGTGGAGCAGAGGGGACAGATTCATCCTCCTCTCTGGTCTTTCCTGGTCAGGTCCACCAGGGAAAATTGGACCAAACTCCTTGCTAAGAGTCAAGCCTGATTAGACTCTGGATACATGGGAGCTTTTAGATCAGCAATATAGGGTATCACTTCCCAGAGGAGTACGGAAGATAAGGCCAAGATCAGCCTCCAGCCAGATGGGAGAAAGAAAAGAAACCCTGTGGGTTGTGCAAGTCAGTTCCTGTGGTGCCTGAGCACTGARCAATTAGCATATGAACCAGAAGTAAAGAGGAGCCTGGGCCTGACACAGGTTCCTGTCCCTGCACAATACCCCAGAGCCCACAAGTCAGCTCTACTTACTTTAATGCCATTTCTGATAAAGAACACTCAGCTCAGGCTAGATGCCAGCTCTCTGGCCTGCATGTCTAAGCTGTCCTCACTAGCTCCTGCCCATGCTGGGGTAACCTGTCCAGCAACAAGCTAGGCCCTATCCAGGAAGGATCAGAGATGCCAAGGGCACAAACCAATGTCTGCTTATTGATGACTTGTGAAAACAGAATGCCCATAAGTGGTTGCCAGAGATGAGCCTCCAGTGAAGACATCAAGTTCTTCATCTATCTTCACTCTCAAACAAAAACCATGGACTCCTCCATTTCTCTCTCTATCTCTCTTGGGGGGAGGGGCTAGGGATTGAATCCAGGATTGCTTTAGCACTAAGCTACATCTTCAGCCCTTTTTATGTTTTTATTTTGAGATGGGGGTCTCATTCACTTGCTTAGGGCCTCGCTAAGGTTTCTGAGGCTGGCCTCAAACTTAGAATCCTCCTGCCATAGCCTCTCAAGCAGCCGGGATTACAGAAGTGTGTCACCACATCTGGCTACCCTCCCTTTTTCCCCTCATTTAAATCCTGATATCTGGTGTTAACAGTGTTTTTTAACCCAGGAAGAAGGAGACACATTCCAGACAGACAAAACCTTATCCTCCTTTCTCCTGGTCTGTTAGGAGGAGAACCTAAACTGGCAAGAGTATGAGGGAGGAAAATGGGGTGCTCTGGATGTAACTTGACAGAAAAAGAAAGAGGCAGCTGAGAGATGGTGACTGATGCTGTCTGGTGGAAGTAGAGCATGTGGGGACACCCCTGCAACTTCACCCTAAAGCCTCACATGCAGAACTAGGTTGTGCCTTGCTAGGATCAGAGAGCACCAAGGGCAACATGTCTCCTGTATTGGGCTAAGCCATTTGCTGAAGATGGACTCTGGGTCTGGCCCTGTGTGTCCCCCAGACCACACTCACCTCTCCCTTCTTCACTGTCATGGACTGTCGTCGGGGTGTGATCTCTTCATTGATGCTGGACAGGAAGTTCTGTGAGATGCGAAGGGCATCCTGCAGCAGGGAATGATCTGGGTGGCTGGAAGGGGTGTGCTTCAGCAAGTCCTGCCCCAAGTGGAAAGACTTGAGTCAGAGAGCAGAATTGGCATGGACCCACATTTGGTGTTAACTCAGAGCTTCTGGCTCCTCAGGTGTCACTGCTATTTCTCTCAAAGGGCCTGGGCTTTGCAGTTAGTGCTTGTAGAACACCATCCCAGAAGCAGGTTCTAAATGGCACTCCAAGAAACCCATGCCATTCGTACAAAGCCAAAAGGAGTTTCCACTATAAGGTTCTAGGGTAAGGTTTCTGAACTTTGGTGCTGTTGACATTTTGGACCAGATAATTCTTTGTTATGGTGTGTGGTAGGGGGCTGTCCTGTATCCCATAGGATATTTACTACCACCCCTGGCCTCTGTATACTAGATGCCAACAGCACTCCGTCTCTGTAATTGTAACAACCAAATAAGTCTCTGGACATTGCCACATGTTCCTTCAGGAGCAGACTCAGTTTTGACCCAGAATCCCTGGCCTATACAAGGACAGGAGAAAGCCCATGACCCTTCTGGCTCCTCCTCCTTTAGATGAGAGTCTAGGCTTTTTCAGATGAGAATACTGACACCTTCTCTGCTAGGAATACAAATCATTTCTGCTCAAGGTCTGGTTCAGATAAACATAATCCCCTTTAGATTCCAAATCCCATTTGCAAAGAGAACCTGGAGAGATGAAATAGGAGGAAGGCACCTGGGTTGGCAACGAGAGCCCCCCCCCCCCTCGGGGCAGATTCAGTTTTTCCCTACCATGATGCTTGGCTAGGTGCACACTTGGTCCTGGATCAATCACAGCAAGGGGGCAGACTGAAATGTCTTAGTCTGACAGGTTATCTGCCAGAGCCTCTGAACTGCATAACATTTCCCCCCATTCCAAAACCTTTTTTTTTTTCTTAAGATGGAATCTTGCTGTGTTGTCCAGGCTAGCCTTGAATTCTTAAGACTCAAGTCACCATCCTGCCTCATCCTCCTCCAAATAGCCAGAATTATAGGCATACACTACTGCGCCTGGCTCTCCATTCAAAACACTTTTTAAAACAATATTTATTTTTTAGTTGGACATAATACCTTTATTTATTTTTATATGGTGCTGAGGATTGAATCCAGGACCCCACACTTGCTAGCCGAGTGCTCTACCACTGAGCCACAACCCCAGCCCTCAAAAACTCTTAATTAGAAATGGTAAGAAATTATGAAACATCTGGTCAACAGCATATTATACAGCTTAAAAAAGAATGAGGTGGGCCTGGGGTTGGGGCTCAGTGGTGGAGTGCCTGACATGTGTGAGGCACTGGGTTCGATCCTCAGCACCACATAAAAATAAATAAATAAAATAAAGGTATTGTGTCCATGTACAACTAAAAATATTAATTAAAAAAAAAGAATAAGGCATAGCTGCATGGGTTAAAGTAGAACAACCTCTATGGTGTGGTATTAAATGGGAAAGAGCAAAGTGTGAAACACATAAAATGTAACACCTTCTGCATAATTAAAAGAGATGTTTATGTCTGTTAGCTCATGCATATAATCTTTCTGGTGGTAGGCTCCTTTGCCAGGAAGGAGCAGGCAAGGAAATGAATATGTCACACACTTGTATGAATTGGTTGTAAATGTTTTTTCAAGTGTATGTGAAACTTATAAATCATACTAATAGGGTCTCCTAGGCAGTAGGACTTGGATTGTTTTTATTTTCTGGTTTTGTTTCTCAGTATTCATAAAACCCCATTAGTGACTCCCCRCTGAGGTGGGATCTCCCTCTGCTCCTTTCCCACAGCCTTCAGAATGCACAGAGCCTCTGGTCCCCAGTCTTGTTTATTTTGGAGTCTCAGTTCATGTACTTTACTGCCTTCTCCATCTTCAAGCCCCAGTCCATATGGGACAGGATGCTCCCACCCTGCTGTGGGAGAACCTGCTTCTGTTCCCCCAGCATCCTATCCTGTGAGACCCTGGACAGCAGAGGCCCCTCATCTCTGCAACCTCAATAAAGGTTTGTGGGAGAGGAAGGGGTTGGGAGTAGAAGGGTGGGCAAAAGGTAAGTGTCAGCCCCAGGACAGGAGAAACAAAGGGCCCAAGGTAAGAAGGCCACACCTAGTTGGGCATGAGGACAGGGAAAATGCCCAGACCAACTTGGGAGGCAGCTGCAGTGCTCCTAAGATATGACTCACGTGAAGGACCAGCGTGCTTCTTGTCACCCGGTCCACAGGCTTGTAGAGCAGGGCTGTGGAGAGACAGGCAGGGTGAGATGATCACACCTGGTGAAAGCAGGATACTCAACCACTAGTGCTGCAAAGGGGAGGGAGAATGGTGCAGCCCCAACCTCTACAGGCCCTACCTGACCTCCGCACAAGTGATGAGGGCAAATCCAGAGCACCTGTCTGCATGCTCAAGCTTTAAGTCTAGGACATCAAATACAGAGTCTAGAGCTGCTGGTCAGGCCCAAACCCTCAGCTAATTTGGTGACAACATCCCAAAAGGCTCAGTGTTGATACTCCTGCCACCTGGGGTTAATGAGGGCCCCAATCCTGGATGGAACTCTGTTCTCGATCCTAGAGGGTACCCTGGGAGTAGACCAGCATGCTGCTCTCAATGTCATGCCTGGATGCTTTGCAGGCCTGGTTCTGAGGAGGGTAGGAGCCAACATGATGCTGACATAGCTCTCAGTCTGACAAGTGCTCTGAGATGGGAACCTGCTGAGGATATCCAACCTTTAGTGGTAAAGAAGTCCCAACCAGCCTTGGCCACCTGTGTTTTTCTCAGACAACAGCACGAGCATAGATGCTTAGGTGTTTTCTGACACATACATTTCCTCTCTTGACTCCCACGATCAGTGTTGGGCATTTTACAGATAGGGAAACTGCTATTCACAGCAGGGATACAGAGTAAGTAAGCTCTGGGGATTGACACCACACGGGCTGTTCTCTGTGAGTGAGCAAACTATTCACACTGTCCTAACAATCAAAAGCAAGAAATGACTTTCCATTCCTGACTCCACTTTTTAATCAGAGTGCAGAGGTTAAACACAGCCCTGGGAACCCAATCACTCTGGATTTAAATCCTGCCCAGCTACCTAGAACCTATGTTTCACTTGGGCTATTTTATGTTTTATACCCATTTTGTCATCTGTCATGTTTTAAATATGTCCCCCAAATTTCATGGGTTGGTAACTTAATCCCCTAAATTATACATGTTAATTGTATTTGACAGGTGGAACCTTTGGGATATGATTGGGTCAGGAGGGCTCTGTCCTCATAAATAGGTTAGTCCATTCAAAGAATTAATGGGTTGCTGAGGGATAGTTTTGTTATCAAAGTGAGTGCTCTCTGGCACGTTTACTCTCTCTCTCCATGGGATGTCCCATGCAGCCTTAGGACTCTAGAGAAGTCCTCAATGGATATGGCTGCCTGATCTTAAACTTCTCAGCTTTCAGAACTATGAGCCAAATGTACTTTTATTCTTTATAAATCACTCAGATCTGTGGTAGTCAGAGCAACAGGAAATAAACTAACATCTCATTTTTTTTTTTTTTGGTACATTGGGGATTGAACCCTGGTGCTTTACCACTGAGCCACATCCCCAGCCCTATTTTTGTATTTTATTTAGAGATAGGGTCTCACTGAGTTGCTGAGAGCCTTGCTAAGTTACCGAGGGTGGCTTTGAACTTGTGATCTTCCTGCCTCAGCTTATCAAGTTGCTGGGATTACAAGTATGCACTAATGTCTAATTTTATTTCTAATGCCAAGCTAATATCTCACTTGAAAGAGGAAAAAAATAAAGTTCTTCTTACAGGGCCACTGGGCATGACAGAATGGTATCTAAAAATTTTTTCAGATGAGATCTCACTACATTGCTCAGGCTGGTCTTGGACTTGCAATCCTTCTTCCTCGGCCATGCCATCACAGCTGGTATGATCACATTTTAAATGCCCAGTAGTGCTTAGGTTGTGGGTGCTTGCTGACTCCTATAATTTTTTCCTGATTGCTACCGTTGGTGGCAAACTGGTCCTGACCACATCCTTCCCATCCTGCCATACTCAGACCTTCTCTTTCCTCATCTCTCTCAAAATTTGAGGTCCAGAACAGGGAAGACACAAGGGGAAGACCCAAATAGGAACCACTTCTGCTTTTCCAGTAACCATCCCCATGAAGACACAAAGAGGCCCTGCATGGAGAACAACTCACTTTCCAAAGAATTCTTGGTGGCTTGGTCCTTGGCATCCCTGTTGCTTCTGGCTCTCAGGTTCTGTAGAGAAAAGAATATGCTTACAAGAGATGGCTAAAGCAGACTGGAAGTGGCACAAAATTCTACAGTCAGGAATATTTGACAGAAAGCACGGCCTTCTCTTCCCATAAAGAATCCCAGATGCAGCAACCTCAGGACATTCTGAGAAGCTGAATGAAAACCCAGATTGTGACCCATGAGCAAACGGAGCATGGATGCCCCAGACACTTAGGACAGGATTTCTCAACCTCAGCACTGTGGATGTTTGGGGCTGGAATTCCCAGTCCTGTGCAGCAGCCCCGTGCACTGCAGGAGGCTGAGCAGCATCCCTGGTCTCCACCTGTAGGTGTAGTTAACATACCTGGCCTCCTTTTATGAAAACCGAAAATGTCTTTAGGCATTGCCAAGGGTGTCTTTGGGAACAAAATCACCCCTTGGTGAGAACCTCAGATATAGATAAGCCTGTAAACACAGCAAACTTCTTTCTTGGAGCAATTCAACAGTATGCAGGGAGCTGGCCATTCAGAAGAGCACTCTGGTTTGGCATCAGCCAGGGTGGGCCTGCTACTACCCATATTTATACCGGGTGCTTCAACCACCCTCTTGGGTGGAAATGTATAAATATACTTGCTAAAATATGCAAATGTACTTGCTCTAAAATAAGGTGGTAAGATTCCTATAGAGAGAGCAGGGCTTTTACTGGATAGGCCATGTTTCAACACAGCTGCTTGAAAAGGATCACTGATTTGATCTAATGTGCTAAGAGAAATGAGGATAAATGATCCCCATGCCCCTGAAATCATCCCCAGGAAGCAGCTGTGAGGAATCCTAGTACTAGGCTTCTAAATAAATGCATAACCCACCAGAGAGTTGGGAAAGGATTCTGGGATTGCTCTCCCAACCTCTTGTGCTGCAGGAATCCTTCCAGGCCTGTAAGATAGTGACTCCCAGCTCACCAGAGCCAAAACCCATCATGCACTTTGGTACCTTTCCTGAGTTTAACATCCCTTGAAGTGACTGTTCCTCCCTACATCTGACTCAGCAGTTTCCAAAGGATGTGAGGGGGTGTGAAAGTTCAACAAGAGACTCTGCAAAAACTAGGTGCTGAGCTTACATGAGCCTGGGAGGCACCCCACACTCCACATGTCCCTGCATGGGGCAAGGCACAAACTCTGGGATATCCTGCTACAAGGAGCCTTAAGAGTTTGGTTTAACCCCACATTTCCCAAACTTACTTGGCTCCAGAAACCCTTTTCATCTAACTCATATTATTTACTGTCTGGAAGCTGGTGTCCCACAGAACCCAGAATGTACAACTTCAGTGTAACTGGACGCTAACTCACGCTTAGCACTGGTCCCAGGAGAAGGTGAAGAACCATTACCCCCCCCCCCAACCCTGTATTTGACCTCTCCCCACCCTGTATTTGAGTGTGAATCTCCGATCCCTTGCCCAAGCACTGACCTCCCAAGACACAGTTCCCCATACCACCACACAGCCTGCTGCTTCCTCTTTCTTGAGCTTGATTTTGCTCTCTTTGGGCCATTCCAATTTCTCTGGATCATTTTTGAAATACAGAAAACCAGCATGGATGCTGCTTCAATGGTTTAGGAATCACAAAGATTCAAAGAGCACCAGATTCCAGCAGGCACCAAGCCACCATCCCACTCCTTGCATCTCAGCCTTGGCTCAGATTCTCACCGAAGACCTCAGGGGGACCACATGACCTCCCTAGGTCATGTCCCACCATGGCTTCTTCCTTCCTCTGTAGAAACCTGTACAGGTGGACTTGAACTGGGCTTCTTAACTGTAGCATGCTCTTTAGGGGTCAATTCTTTTTGTTGTTGTTGTTCTAAATAGTTATACATGATAGTAAAATGYATTTTGACACATCATACATAAATGGAGTATAACTTCTCATTTTTCTGATTGTACATGGTATAGAATTCAGTGGTTGTATAATCATACAGGCACACAGAGTCATAATGTCCGATTCAAATTTATCAAGGTCACTTAAAATTTGTGCAAATATTCTAGCTGATAAAGAGTGTGGGGGTTGCTAATTGAATGAAAAAGGAGAAGAAAAGAATGGATTGAGTGCTTTAGGGGGAATAGGCTGGCAGGAAGCGCAGAGGCCTTGAGGCATGCAGATCTTGTTACTTGCAGCACTGGGCAGGGACTGGGGCACCCTATGGGCGTAGGAGGGACAGTGTGGCACAAATTATTGCTGTTGGAGACAATCAGAGCTAGGGCCTCACACCCAGTCCCATGATAAATGATAAAATGGCACAAAGTCTCTGGAACAAAGCCCAGGTGTGACCTTCAAGGTTGTCCCTTGGCAAGACAGACAAGGCTCATTCCATGTTTCTAGTTTCTGTTTCTCTTTTTAATTCCACATTTCTCACACCAGAATCCTTGTTTGGTGGTGGGGCGGGTGGCGGAAAGGTGGGGGGCAAGGCAAGTCAGAGCTTTGGTAAGTATCTATAGGCAAGAGTGAGGGCTGGTGATATAGCTCAGTGGTAGCGCACTTACCTGGCATGTGCAAAGCCTTGAGTTCAATCCCTAGTACCACCAAACAAATGAATAAAAAATAATAAGAAAAGGCAAGAGTGACAACAAGCCTCAGCAGAGGACTGTTTCATGGTTGCCATTGGCTCTGCAGAGATTCAGACAGGGCATCTTCTTGCCCTTTCCCATCATATCTGAAGAAATGGAGATGCAGGGATGCTGCTGGGTTCTGGACTTGGCTACCAGCCTCCTGGGTGTCCTATTCATCTTCTCTGTATCTGAGAGGCTCTTTTGAGAGTCTAACAACATTCCATGGTTTAAAGTTTCAGACTCCCCGGGGCTAAATGCAAAGAGGGAGGCCACAATTCCCCCACACATGGGGTGGTATGGTTCTAACCAGAAGCTTTCCTTCCCATGCGGGTCTACAGACACAGCAATGCAAGCCCTCACTCTCTTGTGCTGGCTCCTTAACGTTCCCAGCTTTCATGGTCGCTGGTAGGCTAGAAAAGGAGCAGAGGAGGACAACTCCCAGCTAGTCTCCAGTAACAAGGTACAGAGTCAGGACTCCTGTGATAAGACACAGGGACAAAATTATAGAAACTAACTCACTGCAGACAGATGGTGCAAGAGAGCATCTGGGTAATATGGTTACTATGGTTTGAATATGTCCTTCAAAAGTTCATGTATTAGAAATTTAATTAATTCATGGTACATGAACCAAATTGTGGGGCTAATGGGAGGTAATTATGATTATAGAAAGTCATAAGGTTAGAGCCCCCATGAAGTCATTAGTGACTTTTTAAGAAGAGAGACTTAAGCTAGCAGGATTGCTCTGTCCCGCCATGTGATGACCTCCATCATGTTATAATGCAGCAAGAAGGCCCTCACTAGATGCAGCTCCAAGCTCTTGGACTACCCAGACTTTAGAACTATGAGCCAAATAAATTTCCTGACCCCTGGAATGAGGCCCTGGCCTTTGAGGGAATGGGGTGCTCTCCAGGCTGCTCCTTCTATCTGGTTATAGTAGTATCCTGGGCATGAAGCTGATGGAGCATACCCAGAAACATCTGTGTTCAGGACTGTGGTTCATGACCAGACTTCAATTGGGCGCACTTTGTTCTCCCAGGTCAGGTTYTACCAAAAACCAGCCCACAACTCATCATGGGAGGTGGTGGGCACGAGTGGGAACTGGTGGTGCTCCTATCTACACAGTGTCATGATAATCATTACCTCAGAGATTTCTGCAAACTGAGCGTTGGCCTGACAGCACTTTTCTGCTGTTTCCATGGCAACCCCATAATTGTCCACAAAGGCTCGGTACACACCCAACTGGCTGGCCTGCAGGGAGGAAGGAAGAGAGTATGGGACAAGTGAAGGACAAGTGTGAGACATATGCCATTTCCCCCCATCTTTATGAAGACTGGGCTCTTCTACACAGTTCTGGAGAAATTCCAGGTACAGCAGACAGTGCACAGGCTGCAGAAACCTCAGCTCTTCCATGCTGTTCCTTCCCACCTGCTTCCCCTCCCCACCCACTGAGCACGCTTCCCTCTCCTAAAATGACATGTTGAGAAGTGACTCACATCCCTGAGCAGGTAATGGCTTCCTTCCAGAGCTTCTAATTCCTCCCACCCCATTCACTTCGACAGTATTATGAGTAGCAGCTTAAGTTTGAAGGAGTAAGTGAACATGGACAAGCATTTCTCTCTCAGCAGATAAGACCGAGTGCATGGCACCTTTTCATTCTGATTGCAGGACATGGATGTTGGTAGACCCTGGTGGCCATGGTGTTCTGTTCATGTCCAATCCCCTAGGACAGATAAGGAACACTTAGCTCCCTGTGGAGAAAAGGAGCTCTAAGAGCTCAGACTCAAACCCATCCCAGACCTGGCTGGTAGACAGGTGTCATACTGCACACGTGGCAGATGGGAGACTTGCTAGCGGTAAGGTGAGAGGTATTTCCTCACTGAGCCTCCTGATCGGATGTATACTCAACTGAGCCTTGACTTCCATAGGTGGGTGAGTGAGAGTGTATAGCCCTCACTTTTTTCTCTAGGCCCCATGACATCTTTAGAGACAGCAAGAAGGAAACCAGTCCTCCCATGGGACCAGCAAACCCAGACCTGGGTAGGGTAAGGAAAAACTCAGGAGACACCCAGGCCATTGCAGCTGACCAGGAGCAGGAAGCCTGAGCATTTGCTGTTCTTGGCACTTGTTCTATATCAAACTTAAATTTCATTTCCACATAGATTTGCATTTATATTAAATTTTATGTTTATACATATGACAATTCCAGATACTGGGTAAACCAGGTGCCCCTGGCTAAAATGGGCCTGATCTTCTGGCTCTGTTCCCTATAGTGTTAGCACAGAGAACTATGGAGTATCTGAGGAAAGAGTAGGGCCAGAGGATGTCCTGCTCATCTCCTGAACACCCTGGAGAAGTTGCTGCATACTCGAATTCCAGGTTCTTCCTCCAGTACAACGATAAGACCYAGGGTATCTTCTTTCCCTCCTCTGGGCTCCTTTGCTTCTGAGAGCCTACGTTGAAACTAAGGCCCTGCTTGAGCCCCTGTCCCCATAGTTATGAATAATCAGACATAGGAATACCCTCTGCAGCTGGTGTTCTAACAGGACAGCACATGATAAATAAGTGAGCAGACACATACAACTGCAAATGGTCAAGGCGGGCTAGGGATGGAGAACAATGGCACTGTTTTAGAGAATGTGGGCAGGATCAGGATACCCTTCTGGAAGAAAAGACTGCAGAGTAGAGTCTAAAGTATCTCAGGAGGAGAACCCTTTCAAGTCTTCTCTTCCTTTCTACCCAAGGAACTCACCTTTTCTAGGTGTGAAAAGTCTCAAGTAATTCATTTCCATATGTTTAGCTAATCCAAAAAAAAAAAAAAAAAAAACAAGCTGCACTGATAATGGCACGATGCCTCCAGACAGGGTGCACCGAGACGGCTAGATCCCCATTGCTGATATTGCTCTTTACCAAAACTCAGAGCCTAAATCTGTTCCTGAGGAAACATCTGAAAAACTGGTCTGCATCCTTCAATAAATGTCAAAAGTCAAGCTCAGGGCTGGGGTTGTGGCTCAGTGACAGAGCACTGGCATRTGTGAGGCACTGGGTTTGATCCTTAGCACTGCATACAGATAAATAAACAAATATCAAGGTCCATTGATAACTAAAAATAAAAAATAAAAAGCCAYTTCAGGGGCATGCTTATAATCTCAGCCACTAGGGATGCTGAGGCAGGAAGACTGCAAGTTTGAGAGCTTGGGCGATTTAGCAAGATCCTGTCTCAAAATTAAAAATAAGGGGCCTGGTAGCAGTGGACATGCCTGTGATCCCAGTGATTTGGAAGACTGACAGAAGGATGGTTAAATTAGAGGATAGCCTCAGCAGCTTATCAAAATTGTGTCTCAAAAATAAAAATAAAATGGTCTGGGGATAGAGCTCAGTGATGATGTACCCCAGGACTCAATTCCCGTACAAAAACAAAAACAAAAACAAAACAAAAAAAAACAAGTCATGGAAGATAAGCCAAGTCCAAAGAACTGTACATGACAATCAAGTACATCATGTGATCCTGGATTGGATCCTGAATCAGACAGCAAAAACAGCTATACAGAACTTGATCACTAACTTGGAGGAAATTTGCATCGGGACAGCATACTGAATAATGTCACAATGATCTGAAATCTCCTGAATGTGACAAACTGTACTGTGGGTTATGGAAGAGAATGTCCTTGTTCTTAGCAAAAACACAATGAAGTATTTAGGGGTAAAAGGGCAGAAGCCTGCAACTTATTCTCAAACTATAAAAGAGGAAAAAGTGTGTGTGCATGCAGCATGCATAACATACACAAGGCTAATGTCRTAAAAATGTTACAATCAGTGCATGTGGGTGAAGGTTACACTAGAGTTCTTTGTAATATTCTTGCAACTCTTCTGTAAGTCTGAAATGATCAGAAAAACAAAACAAAATGAAGCTGATAAAATTTCAGTCCTACACAGTGGGCATGAGCTGTAGTGCAGACTCACAGGAAGGGCAGTAAAGGCAGGGTTTGAGTCAAGCTTTCTGTGCTCCCAGATGTAGCTCATGATCCTCAGGGCTCAGGAGGAGACACCAGAGCTGAAGCAGGGCATGGCAAACTCCTTGAGTCCTAGGATTCTTCCAGCTGGGATGCCTAAGAGAGTGATGCTGCATCATCCTTGCTGAGGTCTGAAAGGGCTGAGAGCAGGGCAGAATCTGCCTGTCCTTACAAAGTCACCACTCAACCCAGGTTGAAGGCATGTGAATATTCTGAACACGGTGACTAAGAAATGATGTCCCACTGCAGCCTTGGTCCCTCTTGCTGCAACATCTGAAGCAGGAAGGTGGCTCAAGGACACCAGGGATACCAGAGGAAACTTTCCAAATTAAAGTTCCAGGGCTCATGGATTATTACATTTTTTCAAAAAAAGTTTCCGAGTGATTTTGGAATGTTATTCTGAGGAAAGAGCTGGTTGTGAATTTTTTCCGACAACATGATTCTGTTTCTGTGGAGGATTGCTGCCTGATTCCAATCCCCTAGGTTTAAAACCACTGACATATTATGCTGAAAGAAATGGCAGGGAGGAACTTCAAAGATGMAGGGTACCTGCATTAAAACATGGCCTTCTGAACTCTGGCTGTGGGGAAAGCAGCCTTGAGAGGCAAGAATTTGAACCAACAAGTGACTGGTCTGTCCCTAAGGCCTTGGCTCCAGCCTTTAGGGCAGAGTGTCTGCAGCCGAAGGTGGTGCAGGAGGGGTTCACCAACAGGAAAGCCACATCTTGGAGAACACTTTAGCCTAGATGTTTGCCAAGTTGAGGCCAGAGTCTGTACTAGCTAGGTATTGAAACAGCTCAGAAAAGCTCTGTGTACAATAGAGGAGTCCAGCCTTTGGCTGCCCCTGCCCCTGAAGGACTGTGTCCCTCCAGAATGTTCCAGGTGTGTGCACAGGAGGCCCAGGTAATCCCAGAATCAGTGTCAGGTATCTTTAGAAACAGATTAGACCCTGACCAGCATCTGCCTTTGAGTAGCTCCTCCAGGATGGGAGCTCCCTGTGCTGGGGGATAGCCTCTTTGCTGAGCAGTTCTTACATGTAGAACTCCCTCCTGCAACCTCCTCCTGTCCCCTCAATGTGAGACTCAGAAAGAGGTCATTTTACACATCATAGAACCTCACACACTGGAGGACAAACAGCAATCCTGCAGTCCTTCTCAGAGAGTTGGCTCCTTCATCCCAGGGCTACTTCATAGTTTCTTCCTTTTGGACAAAGTCTACCTTATCTGTGTCTGGGTGAGGTGTGCACCGGAACCCAGTAACTATCCTGGCTGTGGCCTGGCCAATATCAGCAATGGGTGGCCTGACAGCATGAGGCTGTGCCATGGTCCACACTCCTTTGCCAGGRATCCCAGTTATAAACCAATTCTCTCTTGCATTTCTCCAGCCTGTCCACTAGGATGTGTCCTGATTCCTGCAAGGTACAAGGATGTCACTGCAAAAGGAACCTCTCTAGATTAAACATGCCTCAAATCTCTGAGAACAGCTGCCTGCAGGAGCTTAGCACTACACAGATGTTCTGGGTTGATTATTTTTTTCTGCCTCCTTCAGTGCCTGAGGGCAATATTACCACTACCTTGATTTTTAATGCCCAAGTCTCCCCTCCCTAAGCCATCTTCTCTTTTTATTCTCCAAATGATTCAAGGGACTTTGATTAACATAATTGCAAAAATGAAATAAAATACAGTCATCCCTGTAATCACAGGATACTGGTTCCAGGACCTCCCTAAGGATATCAACAATCCCTGGGTATCCTAACTAAATAAAGTAGCATAATACTTGCATACAATATACCCATATCTTTCTATATGTCTTATTTAATTTTGATGCTAAAGATTGAACCTAGAGCCTTGCACATGTTAAGCATGCATATTGTCACTGAGCTACACCTCCAGTCCTGCTTTTTTAAAACACACACACACACACACACACACACACACACATACACACACATGCGCGCGTGCTGGACTCAGACTCCTAGGCTCAAGCAATCCTCCTACCTCCCAAATAACTGGGACTATAGGCACATGCAACCACTTTATTTTTTATTTTATTTTGTTATTTTATCCTATCTTTTGCAGTGCTGGAAATCAAACCCAGGGTCTCCTACATACTAGGCAAGCAGTCTACCACTGAACTACACCTTCAGCCCCCCAAATTGTATACTTTAAATCATCTAGGTTTGTTTTAATTCCTAATCTGATGGAAATACTATGTAAATAGTTGTTATACTATACAGTTTACAGAATAATAACAAGGGGAAAGTCTCCACATGTTCAGTACAGATGCAATTTTTTTTCCTGAATATTTTTAATCCTTGGTTGGTTCAATCTGTGGATGTAGGACACACAGACACAGAGGGCTGATTGTATAACAAAGCCCCCCTCTGTTTCCACCTGCTGTCCCCACTGTTGCCTTTCCAGGCAATGTCCAGCCTCCATTCATCCTCTGCCCAATGTATAAGTCCTGCTTTCCTGGGTAACAAAACCAATTCCACTCCAGGAGCCCTCAAAGAGGCAATTAGATCACTCTGGAGACTGGGAACTTCAAGTAAAACAGAGCAGATTAAAAAAAAAAAAAGGATAGAAGGATGCCCCACTCATTGGATCTAGCTGGGGGACATGCTTTTCTTGGCCTCCCCCTCACCACAATCTGAACTTTGGCATCCAAGGCACTGAGATGCACTCCAGACTCACTCCTACTATCTCCTCGGTATCTCCTTACAGCACATGTTCATAGGTCACTGGACAGGCCTGGTCCCCACTTGGCCATCCCCATAGCCATAAGCACCCAGCATGCTCTAAGTCACTCACCAGTTTCTGGAAGAGGTCGCCCACCCGCTGCTGGTGGCTCCACTGCTGCACTCGGGGGAAGAGCCCATCATAGAACTCCTTGTGGATTTCATAGAGCTCAGGCACTTTGAAGAAGATGGTCTCGATCTGCTGGCTGGTCAGCACAGGCTGAGAGGTGGTGGCAGCAGCTTTCAAAGGCTTCATGGGCTGGAAGAGGGCCCAGTGAGAGGGCATGTCACTAGTTAGGTACATGGGTACAACTACAAAATATTGTGGTTATATGATACATACTTTAATTGTCTGTCTGTCTGCCTGTCTATCTGTCTGTCTGTCTGTCTCTCTCTCTCTCTGTCTCTGTCTCTCACCAGGGATCAATTGTCTGTCTGTCTGTCTCTCTCTCTCTCTCTCTCTCTGTCTCTGTCTCTCACCAGGGATCAAAGCCAGGACCTTGGGCATGTTAGGCAAGCAGTCTATCACTTAATTACATTTCCAGCCCACACTTTTAAACTCCAGAAAAAAATTAAAACTTGGCAACCAAGTCTTCCCTTGGCTTTCCTTCCACTGGCTCCTTGGGGGAGGTCAATATTCTATAAAAATAGAATGTTCTGACCCTCCCATAGGTGTGCCCCCAGGATCTCACAGTTGATCAGGGATGGTGAGCAGAGAAGTTCCCCTTGGGTCCCCACCATGCTTGGTCAGCCCCTCCTTCGTCCATCCTCACCAGTAGAAGTGCCTCCAGATGGCTCAGGTAAGTCTCCTCACTAGCCAGGATTCCAGACAGGACCCATTTTCTCATCTCCAGGCCCTTTTCCAAGTCCAGTTCACTCTGCAGAACAGATGAACAGATGTTGGCACCAGGGTGGGGTGGGGTGGGTACGGATGCTTGCAGCAGGTGCTTGTCAACCTCTGGATGAGCCCCTGGAGAAGGCTCCATGTAGAAGTAAAAGTGAAACACAGGAGCCTTGCAAATATTCAGCCACTTGCTCAAAGTCACTGCAAAATTAGAAGGGTCATCAAGCAAAGTTGAGGGCCACCCTTGGTCTCGACACACTAAGAAATGGGAAGTTTGGAGCTGMACAGACTATAAGGCCTCCTTCCCTCATGCTCTGTGCCTGGGACCAAGGAATAGTTATCTTTACCTAGTCAAGAAAGGAAAAGGAAGCTCTGACCCAAGGTGAATACAGGTCACAGGAAGCCCAAAGGGCAGCCCCAGAAGAGACCAAGTAGAGGGGGCATCAAAGTCCACTACATGGGCACCTCCACACAAGCCCACCACTCCCCACTCCTCACCTGACACCTGTCGCAACTGGATTCTCTGACTGCCACTCCCACCTGACCCTTGGACCCACTAGAACCAAGACTGGGCAGCAGTACCTCCCTCCTTGTACACTCCCTTCCTGGTCAAAGGGACTGGACCTGGGAGCTGCTGCCATCTGCCCAAGGGGAGCCCCATCTGCTGGCTCCTTGACCCTGTTTTCTAGACTCTGACTTTGCCTATAGGAACTCCTTTGCAGGTAGACTATAGTAAAATCAGTCCCCTTTCTTGTCCTGTCTCTGCTAAAAGTCCAATGAAGCTCTGCCCCCAGAAAGAGCTGAGGCATCACTGGATGTCAATGCGGAGGGTACAGCCCACATCCCTGAGAGACCATGAACCAATCCTAGTTATGATGGTGATAAGGGCTGAATTATTGCCTCCCCCAGGTCAAATTACTAAGCCCTAGTACCTCAGAATATGACTRTATTTAAAGAGGGGATGAAGTTAAGCCAGGAGMGGGGGCATACACCTATAATTCCAGTGGTTCAGGAGGCTGGGGTGGAAAGATCACAAGATCGGCAACTCAGTGAGGCCTTACACAACTGAATGAGACCATATCCCAAAATAAAAAATAAAAAAGGCCGAGGATAGAGCTCAGTGGTGAAACACCCTTGGGTTCAATCCCCAGTACAAAAAAAAAAGCCAGGGGGGCGTGGTTTGAAGTTAAAATGAAGTCAATAGGGTGGGCCCTAACACAGAATGGCTAATATTTTCATGAGAACAGACTAGGACACAGACACATGCAGGGAGAAGACATACGAGGAGCCAGAGAGAAGCCCCATTAACCCATCATAAGTCAAGGAGAGAGGCCTCAGAAGAAACCAACCTGCATATCATGATCTCAGACTTGCAGCCACTAGTACTATGAGAAAGTAAATTTCTGTTGTTTAAGCCGCCCTAGCATACTGACAGAGATGGTCACGTGAACGGCAATAAAAACTGCTATTTGACTTCCTGGCCACTCCCACCTCTGCTCCCTGGCCATGGGTGGCGTCAGAGGTTGGCTGTGGCCTCAGCACCACCCTATATGGCATCAGACTGAGGCTGCGCTCCTTCTGCCCAGCCCTGAGCCAATTGGCCTCACCTGTGGTCAGAGGGAGATGCCAGCATGGGGAAGGACCCTGCATCCACTGAAGGTGATACCTGCCCACTCTTCTGCTGGTTTCCAGCCCAAGGGCAAACCTGAGACAACCCCACCATGACAGCCCTCAGGTATGTAACCAAAACAGTGGTCCTATCCATCGCTTACATTCCTAATCTACTTGGGGGAAAAAAACACTGATTTGGGGCAGGATCTTCACCCTTGAGGCTGATGACTAAGAATGGAGGATTATTTTGGGGGGGGGGTGGTTCTATGCCACAAATGTCTCTAAATGTTGTCATATGTTGCCTGGAGGCTGACATCCCCCAGTGAGAACACTGGATTTGAGGAAAGACCACCTAAAGCCAGCTCAGGCCTCATGATGTCTTCAGAGTCTAGAGTCATGACTCCAGTGTGCCCCAATCCTGCTGTCCCTCTTCACACTTCCCTGGCCTTAGGAGAGGGAGGCACTTCATGGCACAGATGGCAGGCCCAGAAGAAAAGGCTCAGGCCAGGAGCTGGGGACAAAGACAGAACTTCCCCAGTGAGCTCCACGGTCTCAGGCAAATGACCTCCCAGATTTGAGCCTCAGCTGCCTGGGTAACAGGGCCAGGAGAGTCCAATCCCTGCACCCCACTTGGGTCACTGGAACCTGTATCATTTCTTCACTGCTCAATGGGACCATCTAAAAAGGATTCCTGGGTCTTTGCTTTGTACTGGGGCTCTTGTGCATGTTCCTGTGTGAATGTACACGTGAGCTGTGAGCATGCATGTGTGTGTGCATATATGTGCATGTATATACATGTGTTGGCACATGCATGTGTACAGAGTAGCTAATGTTCCAGGGAAGGGACATTGAGGTCCCACCCACACAGGTCCCCCAAGGGCACACTGTGCAGTGTGGCTCCATGGGTGGGAGCCTCCAGGGCATGGCTGTGCCCAATCTTGAAACTTCCTGTGTCTAGCACAGGGACCAGAGCACACAGTTCTCAATTAAGATTCATTTCATAATCAAATCAGTGAGTGGATCTTGAAGACATGACTAGGTCCTAGTTTTAGCCACATTTTCACAAAGTCCTGAAGGTCTCAGTACCCTTGTCTGGAAACAAGTGGGTTCTCAGAATTTAGAACTATCAGCTGACTCAGTRTGTATCGGGGTCAGATTGGGGGAACTGAAGTGCTACCGAAGTTTGGAAAGCCCACTGTCCACAGTATACAGATGACCCTCACATGCATCCTATCATGTCTGAACACTGCTTCCATCTTACACAAGGGAAAAGGTGAAGGGAAAGGCAGGCCTCTCTGGCAGTGGTACCCACTCACCTACTTACCTAGCCCTGCTCATCGGGTTCTGAGAATAATCTTGCTGCTGTGAGCTCCAGGGACAGAAGGGCTCAGGGAAGTTAGTAGGAAAGCAGGGCTGGGTGACGGTCCCACCCAGCCCAAGATGCCACTGCCTTTCTGGGTGGGAGCCCCTGAGTGGGAGCACTGTGCCTCATTCCACTCATGTGGTTTGGAAAGCCAAGAGGAAAAAGAGTACAGGCAGGATGGCACTGAGTCCAGTTCTCTCTGTTCTAAAGGGTGGGGCCACTCAAGAGAACATCTGGCTCCAGGAAGGTGCCGGGGTATAGAGGGGACACAGGATGAGGGCACTTCTGCTTAGATTGAGACTCTTCTATAGGGACTCAGAATGGTACTGGTAGTATTATCAGGGAAAAGTCAGAAACCAACTCCTTGTAGAGAAGAGGGTGGAGAGGGAAAGAGAGCGAAGGGGAGGGCCGGCACCAGGGCTATTTATAATCCCAGGCTGTGCACGTGCCAACTCCACGAGAGGGTGAATGCAGTGAAGGCAGGGAGGCTGTGTTAGGAAAAAAGCTGGCGGTAAAGGACAACTGGAATAAAGCAGCAAGATGGAAGGAAGGCCCTTCCCTCCTAACCAGGGGCTGAAAAAAAGCCAACAAAGAACTAATGAAAATGACTTGGACTCATAATTATAACAAGGTAGGGAAAACTGACAGAGGGGTGGAACTGGATAGAACTACATCTATTAGGTACCAGTTAAGTACCAGGTCCAGAGGTAAGTAGAGGGGTGGGGCTGGAGTACAAGGAGTCCCCTCATAAGCGTCCCCAGACCCCTCAAATCTGGGAGAACCCACTGATATCAGGGTGCAAAATTTCTAGCTTTCAGAGAGTTGGCTGCTTCTAGCTAGAAGGTTGCTCCCAGCATAGCAGCCAGACAGAAGACCCTCTTCTGCTCTGGGCAGGGCAGGGAGGAGGCCAGCCAGTGAGCACTCTGGGGGTTTGACATGGTCAGAAAACAAGGGGATGACCTCTGTGTAGGGTCACATGCTGGGGGGACCTGCTGCAGCAAACCCTTGGGAAATTAGTCCTCCATATAGGAAGATCCCAGTATGCAGGGCAGGCTCCATTAGCATATGTCCCCCTAATAAAGGACTTGTTTGAGGTCTTCTTGCAGCTCCCAAGGCAAAGGAGTGCCTGGCCTTTGTCCAACCCCTACCTAACTAATCTAGGGGCAATGCTAAGAGAGGAGACCTGCAACCTAGAAGCCCACTGTGGACTCCCTGTGTTGCCATGACTTCCCAAGAAGGTTCAGTCCCACAGCCCCAAAGCCTCAAGCTTGGCAGCAGAAAGCAAATGAAGAGCCCTATTCAGTAGGTTAAGGAAAAGAGGGATGAACAGATTCCCTGATCCCACCAGCTGATCAAGATCAGAGTGCTCCCTGGGGAACCTAGGAAGTGACAGTCACATCTTTAAACCAAAAAGCCAAGGTTCTGCCTGTCTCTCTGGGGCTTCAAACACTGGAAAGGGCATCTAACCAGAGAGCTGCTGGAATGAAACCATATAACTTTGCTCTAATCAAGTTCCCTCCTTATGCAGATAACTCCTGTCACCTCCTCTGGGCCAGGAAGAATGTTTGGGATTGGGGACTTGAAACCGCATTGCACAGGTGTGCAACCTCCTGCCAAATGTCAGGCTGGGGATTTAGCTCAGTTGGTAGAGTGCTTCCCTCACATGTATAAGGCCCTGGGTTCAATCCCCAGTACCACCAAAAAAAAAAAAAAAAAGAAAAGAAATGTCTACTGACTCATGAGGGATTGAAGGAGGGACCAGGATCTGAACGGGCTCCGCAGGAGATGAGACCCTGAACTAGGTGCTAAAAAGGAACCATGAGCCTGGTGGATGTGGGACGGTGAACAGCACACAGCCTGGAGCACGGAGAGGGCAAATTAACTTCTACTTAGGAACAGAAAGCCAGCCAGGAAACACTCTGGGGGTCTGACATGGACAGAAGGCAAGCAGATGGCCCTGCCATCAAGGAGTGACCAGGTGAAGACAGTCCTCAAAGATGATAGATGGTTACAGAAACTAATAAAGTATGCTGTTAAGAATTCTTGTTGGTATCAAACCACACTCATGTAGCAGCAAGACRGAGAGAGAGAGAGAGAGAATCTGAAAGATTTCACCCCTCACAGCTGTGCCTAATCTGTAGAGTGGTGACTCTGGATGTGGGATATAAAGCTGTGCAAGATGGCAGCAAATGTATGCTGGCTTCCTCTTTCATCTTTATATTTMAGAACAAGAAGCCCACCCAGCACTGAGACCCCTAGAGATCACAAAAACATAAATAAGAAGCTGGGCTGCAGCTAAGGCAACAGCCCCAGAAAAAAGCAACTGCAGTAAAAAGATGTACTTCTTAGCTGTAGGAAAAGGCACACCCTTTCTTATCCTTGTTTGTTTTCTGTGGTGCTGGGTGTTGAACCCAGAGCCTTGTGCATGTTAAGCATGGGCTCTACCACTGAACTATACACATAGCCTTGCTTGCTTATTTTTATTTTTAAACCCAGGGTGGAATCATTCAGAAAAGCAGAATGAAGAAGATATCCCAAATGGATATCCAAAATGGAACCAGAAAGACAAAAAATGGCCCAAGAAACAGAAAGGAGCATCTGTTCTACCACAGTGATGATTGTTGCAGCCCAAGGAAGGAAGCCAAGAGGTCAAAGGAATCCTTTTGTTCCAATGAAAGGAGGAGCAATGCCTGAACCCAAAACACTGCTAAAACTCCCCTGCTCCCTGCCTGGAGCTGTGGGACCACTGCAAGCATCAGGACATCAAGCCAGGCTGGACAGGCCTATCACTTCTGTGGGAATAACACTGTATAGCCTATGATCATCCCAGGGATATACCCTCAGACRAGAGGGGCTAGACCACGGGGCCCTACTTGAAGCACAGGCAAAGCATCTACCAAATGCTTTACTTTTCTCTAGCCATGTGACCTCAGGGAAGCCACCTCTGGACCTCAGTTCCACAATGGTAAAGTGGAGGTAATAGCAACACCAGTTTCATAGGACTATTAATGAGGGTCAAGTGAGAACTCATTGGAAAGACCCTAGTCAAATGGATGAAGCCACTGTCAGGGGCTCCTTTAGTAAAGAGGGAGCCAGTGTACCTCCTAAGCACAGTCACAGGAGCCCAGACACCAACTCAACACCATGGCTGGGACCACCATACACTACCACAGGCTTCGGTGGTGGTCTCTGGCATCAGTTTTCTCAGCCTTAAGACCACATGCTGACTGCCTCCTCCAAGCTCAGTTTACAAAGTGTGCCATGACCTCTCTGCTCAAGGTGTCTGGGAGGTATCCCTCTACCAGAGGCAGGAAGGAGTTTTTAGTAATTTGTCTGACTTCCAAAACAAACCACTGGCAGCTCCACCATCTACTTGCTACATGCCCCTGAGTAACTGGCTATACTCAGAGAGCCTCCAAGGTGACAAAGGCTGGCCCAGAGTCATGGGAGGCAGGTACACCTTGGGGACTCACCGCTTTGGTGGGCTCCAGGGCTCCTGAGGCCAGAGTGTCCCGGCTGCCCCTGCCCTTGCTGCTGAGGTGGGGAGAGGAGGAGGGTGAGTCATCGATGTAGGGCAGCCCATCTTGGTGCCTGCGCTGCTCCTCAGCTCGGTCTGCGGCACAGCTGTACCCAGGTGATGTTCCAAATGAGGCATCTGTGGTGCAAAGAAGTCTGTATTAGAAACAGACTAGAGGACAGAGGGCTGTCTGCTTGGAAGCATCCACACTCCATCCAGCCAAGCARGCACCCAGGTCAACACCATTCTGTCACCCACAGGAACTTCAGGTACACTGATTTCACTTTCTCAACAAACCAGCCCAGGACCACAAAGGTAAGGAGCTTTGCAACTCACTCCCAAACAAATACACGACTGGGCTTTCAAACATTGTCTGGGGCACAGCTGACTTTGGGAGGGAGATGCATGTGACATACTAGGACATAATATTTGCTCTCTGTATACATATGTACATCCTTTCTAGCATATATCTGTTAAAACTGTTGGAATCAACAAAATGACCCTAGTGTCTTGGTATATGCTAATGAGATGCCTGGTTGATGAGCTCTCCTGGAAAGCTCAATGAGAGATGTTTGCCAGGGGGACCAACAATGTGCTTTGAAGGCTGGAACTTTCAGCCCCACTCATGTATCTCCAGGAAGAGCAGAGGGGCTGAAAGTTAAACTGATCATCAGTGGCAAATCACTTAATCAATCATGCCTAYAGAATAAAGCCTCTGTAAAAACCCAAGAAGGGTGGGTTACTGGACACTTGGAGGGTGGCTTGCCCCAAGAGGGCCTGGAAGCTCTGAGTTACCCTCTCACACCTTGCCCTATGCATGTCTTCATCTGGCTGTTACTGAGTTATATTCTTTTCCCCAAGCCTCAGGATGCTGCGGATTGAACCTGGTGACTTGTGCATGCTAGGCAAGCCCTCTATCACTGAGTTACATTCCCAATCCTATATATGTATTTATTGGTATTGGGGATTTAATTCAGGGACGCTTTACCACTGAGCTACATCCCAAGCCCTTTTTATTTTGAGACAGGGTCTCGATGAATCACTGAGGCTAGCTTGAAACTTGTGACCCTCCTTCCTCAGCCTCCCGAGGACAGTAGATGGGATCACAGGCATGGGCCACCATGCCCACTTCGGAGTTGTATCCTTTTATAATAAACTGGTAATCCAGTATGTAAACTGTTTTCTTCAGTTATATTAGTCATTCCTACAGATGAATGAATATGAGGGGTTTGTGGTAATCTCAGCTTATAGTGATCAATGGGAAGCATAAGTCACAACCTGATGCTTATGGCTGGTGTCTGCATTGGGGCTGGTCTTATGAGACTGAGCCCTCAATCTGTGGGATTTGATACTATCTCCAGGTAGATAATGTCAGAATTGAGTTAAAATTGAATTGGTGTCCACAGAGAACTGAAGAGTTGCTTGATGTGGGAGAAAAACCCATTTGGCCATGGAAGTGTTCTGTGTTGAATATAGAAAAACAGTTTGTTTTCCCCATATAAGAGGCATGGGCTAGTACAAAAAGGAGAACCTCAAATGCTACCTTTCTATCAAGGGCACCAGGCTCATCTCTTCTGTACAGCTGGTTGGGATACTAAGTAGGCATTTACTCTACTGCTGTCACCCCTACTCCCCAGGCTACAATCCAAAACAAGACTCTTTCTGGGACCCTCCTGTGGACATACACAGAGGCAGAATGTGGTGTGGCTTTTGTGGTCAGCAGATATGTGCAGACATCTGGAATGTACTATAGGTCAGCTTGGCAGCATAGTGCCAGACACTGGATGGAGTAGCCCAGAGAGTCTCAGCTCACGTCGCCTGCTAGACTCTCTGGAAGCTCTAACAATTACCAGGGCCCATCTGTGTTGACACTGAAACTCCCCAGGTGAGACTAATGTGCAGCCTGGCTGGGTATAGCACCAAGTCCTGCTGGGACAGAGAGGAGATAACCTGGAAGAGACAGAGGCATGTGAGGAAGCTGGGATATAGACCATCCATGGATGTCTGCAGCTGGCAGCAGATCTCAGCCTGAGACCACAGACTAGCATGCCAGCCCAGGTGCAAGTACTGACCACCACAAGCAGTGAGTCTCAAAAGGGCCTACCAGTCTCAGTCCAGGGAACCAGGGTTGTAGTCCACCCTCAGCTGACTCACAGCCCACCTCCCAGCTGGTCTGCCAAACTCTTAGACCACCTTTACCCCAATCCAAGTACTCTTGGAATGATAGAAAGTAGCTTATCCTATAAGAGCCTCTCTGTCCTTTGGAACTATTAAGTTACACAGAGTCTTGAATGCTTCCCTAAGGCACCTGAAAACAAATCACTATCTCCTCCCAGGCTGATGACAAAAGTTCAGATCTTAGCCACTTGTAGCTCCTCTATATCCCATTCCTAGCCCGAATTTTCTGAGTGAACCCCTATTTATAGACTTGTTAAGTCCACAAGAGCCCAGCCCAGTCCAAGTCACTCTTGGCGATCCCTTCTTCACTCTTTCCAAAGGGTACCTTGTTGGTCCCCAGGATTTTCCAGAGGTCATCCTCATTATGTATGTCATTTTTGCTACTGCTTACCTGTAAGCAGCCCTGCCCTGAGGATACCACTGTCACCAAACACACCTAGGCCAAGTGGGCATGTGGCCACCCTTGGACTTGTGGAGTTGTTGACCCAGCAATCTCAATGAGGAGTGTTTTCAATTCTTTTCACATGAGCATTTTGAAGGAAGGAGCTTTGTGGGTGGAGCAACCAACCCCTGGTTAAGACTTCTGCTAGCTGTGTGCAGCCACAGATGGCTGATGTCCTGACTTCCTTGCACGCCTCTGCTTCTCTGCCTGTGTCCCAAGAGGACTTGGCACTCTCTAACGCATGTCCCCAGACCTGGCTGCATGTCAGCATCACTTGGGAAGCTTCACAAACATAACACAGCTGAGCCCAATAAAGACCCACTGAATTTGAAGCTTTGGGGCAGCCTTGGCCTTGGTGGTTATAAAAGCTTTCAGGGGATTCAGCAGGCAGCCAGAGCCAAGACCTGCTGGGCTACTCTATCCGGTGTCTGGCACTGTGCTGGCTGCCATGGAGACCCACAGCATGTCCTTGTGTCTGCACACAGCCACTGACCAAAGGCCAGGCCAGAGTCTCCCTGTGTGTGTGTATGTCCACAGGATGATCCCACCAAGAAGCTTGTTCCAGGTTGCAATAGTAGTAGGTAGGGAACCCCCAATAGCAGGATAGGCTCCTACTGAGTCCTCCAATAAACTATATAGAAGACCCTTATCTCTTCAATCCACCAGGCATCAAGATCACAGTGCTGGCTATCAACACGCTGCTCCAGTGGCATTTGGGTTTTGTACTCTACCAGGACAATCCAAGGTCAAAGCCAAGTTCTCCTCCCAGGGTTTCAMGAAGGCCCTAAACTAGCTCTTTGATAGCATCCTTGGGGAAAACTGAGCAGGGTTCAAACATATTAAAATATGAAAACCCTGTTAAAGCGAAGCCCAAATCCTACACCCCACCCCAAAGAATAAATCTGACTTTATTTTCCACTAACTTTCAGGGAATCAGATGTTAAAAAATAAAATAAAATAAAATAAATACAAACATTGTAGATGTTGCCTACCCAACATTCACAGAGCATTACAGTTACCCCTACTTGAAACCTGCCCATAATGGGGAACTGCTTCCAAAGGCAGCCCAGGCCTAAGACAGAAAGTTTCAGCTGTCAAGTGAGGAACCCAGATAGTCTCCCAGGCCCACAGGGTCTTAGCTGTACCCCCTRGGACTCCTCTAGGTGGGGAAAATGGGCAGCTTTCAGAGCTGTGCTATCAGCAGTGAGGCTCTGGTCCTCCTTGTTGCCACCYCTCTGTGGTAGTATAGTCACAAAAGCTGTCCACACCTCAGTTTTGCGAATGTTAACATCAGGCATGTGGGGGCTGGGGATACAGTTCAGTGGTAAAGCACTTGCCTAACCTATGCAAGGCCCTGGGTTATGGAACCCCAGCACTGAAAAAAAAAAAAAAAAGAAGAAAAAAAGTTAGGCATGTTAACTAGACAATCCATAAAGACCCACCAGATCTAAAATGCCACTGTCAGCTGGGCCTCTACTCCCAACTACTCAGGAGGCTGAGGCAGGAGAATCACATGTTAAAGGCCAGCAGCAGCAATTTAGTGAGATCTTGACTTAAAAAATTAAAAGAGGACTGGGGTTGTGGCTCAGTGGTAGAGCACTTGCCTAGCATGAGTGGTGAGGTACTGGGATTGATCCTTAGCACCACAGGAAAAAAAATAACAAATGAAATACAGGTATTGTGTCCATCTATAACTAAAAATATATATATATATATTTTTTTTTAATATTTATTTTTTAGTTCTCGGCGGACACAACATCTTTGTTGGTATGTGGTGCTGGGGATCGAACCTGGGCCGCACGCACTCCAGGTGAGCGCGCTACCAGTTGAGCCACATCCCCAGCCCCTAAAAATATTTTTAATAAATAAAGAAAAAGAACTTGGGATGAAGCTCAGTGGTAAAGTGCCCTGGGTTCAATACCCAATATCAAAATAAATAAATAAAAAATAAAATGTCATTGTCACTATTCCGAAAGGACCAGTCATCATCTCCTAGGCCTTCAACAAATTCCTTACCCTCCCACCACCTACTTCCCCTATATACCTGGCTTTTACATTAACTCAGAATCATTAGTATATGCTAAATGCTCTAAGAATCCCTTAACTATTGTTTTCTTTTTCTTTCTTTTTGTATCAGGGATTGAGCTCAGGGGTGCTTAACCACTGAGTCACATTTCTAGTCCTTTTTATTTTTTGAGACAGGGTCTCACTAAGTTGCTTAGGGCCTTGCAAGTTKCGAAGGCTGGTCTTGAACTTGCAATCCTTCTTTTCAGCCTCCCACATGTATCACAGTGCCCGWCTATCTAGTTCTGCTTTCTTTGTAATGACAAGTCTCTTAAGAACCCAACATATTCTTCCTCACCTGGTAGAGTGCCTTGAGTTCCATGCCACCAGTAACTAAGCTGACTCACATTCAAAGTCAAATCAACACTAAGGAGGTAATCAACCCAGTAAGAACTTCAGGGTCCCAGAGCTTACTCCAGATGAATGGCAGGGTTTCCATGGTTGTGAAACAACA